CAAACCTTGCCAGACCATTTGCATGGAAACCTATTACGGTTTCCGAATTTAAAGTTTTTTGGGCCTAACCCTCAAGATGGGCATTACTAAAAAAAATTAATAGCGGTTGTAGTGTTCCACAGACCCAGTTCATCATATGCCCATGTTGTCTGCTGCCATGGCCAGGCATAGATATGAGAATATAATTCCATTTATGCATTTCAGTGATAACACACTCTGTCGTCCTTGGGGTGACCCTGAATATGACTGGCTCCACAAAATTCTGCCCCTTGTAAATCACCTTAAGCAGAAATTTGCAGATGTGTATACTCCCCAGCAAAATATCTGCATTGATGAGTCCCTCAATTTTTTTTGTCTGCCTTCTATTCAAACAATTTCTCCCTAGCAAGTGTGCCAGATATATGGTCAAAATGTATAAGACCTGTGAGAAGGCAACATGTAATTTTCGGATTTACAAGGGAAAAGATGGGACATGGAGCCCCCCGGATGCCCAGACTGCATGGGGAGCAGTGGCAAGATAGTTTGGGACTTGGTGTCACCCTTTGTCCATATGGGGTACCACTTATACGTGGCCAATTGTTATACAAGCATGCAACTATTTAGACATTTGTACAGTCTTGGAATTGGTGCATGTGGCACCATGCAACCTAATCGCTGGGGCTTCCCCTAATAACTTGTAAATACCCATCTTAGAAAGGGGGAGAAAGCTTGCTTGAAAAATGATAAATTGCTCACAGTGAAGTGGAAGGACAAACAGGATATTTTCATCCTGTCTTCCATTCACTCAGGCACGACCATCCAAATTTCCATGGCAACTGGTGTTGTTGAGAAGTGTCCATGGCTATAACCTTAGCATGGGAGTGATGGACTTCAACAACCAGATGATGAAGCCATACTTGGTTTCCTGTAAAGCCAGATACTGGTACAAAAATGTGTCTGTATATTTATTTCAATTGGCTCTGTACAACACTTTTGCTTTACAAAGCAACTGGAAGAAATGGATCCTTCCTAAAATTCCAAAAAGAGATCATCACGGTCCTTTTGTATCCGGAAGGTGCTTTGGCCCAAACCCACAACCCAGATGCAGTGAGCCGGCTGCATGAGAGGCATTTTCCTGATGCTATTCCTGGTACCCCAACCCAAAAGTAGCAGACAAGAAATTAGCCGTGACACCCGCTTTTTTTCTCCCTCCTGTCCTGGCCAACCTGGTTTCTGCTTCTGTCGCTACCACACACTAGTGGAGTATTAGTAAAGAGTACAGCATGGCACAGTTTAGAGCACATAAATACACAGGATCTCGACAGTTGTCAGGTAGTCAGGAAACTGGCTATCATATTTTGACAGACCTTAACATCTGAAGGTTACAGTTTTTTTTAAAAAAAAAAAGTAAAAAAAAACCATAAGAAATAAAAAAGTGAAAAATAAAAACAAATAGTTGTTTTATTGAGTTACTGTTTTATTGTTACTGTTTTATAGTTAACCATTGCGGTTTTCTTTGCAGAAATGCCATTCACTTGCAGCACCAATCTGTTTATTCTGACATCAACAGGGTCTTGCTCTCAGAATATATGTAAGTGTGTGCAGCGCTGTTGGATGATATTTTTCATCCACAGTTAAGAAAAGAACATAGATGCCCAAAGTGTATACCTCCTATTAAGAAAGGTTGTTTGAAAAAGTAATATTTACATATTGGTCCTCAGGCATAGGGGAACCTCTGTACAAAATATTGACATTTGGCATTTTGCAAATTTTTTTAAAAAATTATATATTTTAAAATAAGAAAGTGATATCAAAAAACTGATTTTTGGGGGTTGATCCTCAAGTGCCGGGGGATCTTCGTGCCAAATTTGATCATTTAGCTGATTGCCAGGTTTTGGAGATTTTTATATACCTGGCATCCTAACAAACCTAATATGTTTAAATGAAAAAATAAGGATAAAACAGAGGTTAAAGTGGAGATTCCCGGCTGGACCGAGGCTCCATATGATATTTTAGCACAGGAATTGTTAATTGCAGGGTTGGCAGAATCGTTCGATAGTAAGTTTAAAGGTATCGAACCCCTTGATGTTGTACATGTACTCGAGGAGTCCCTGCAAAGACAGGTGATGCAGTAGCTTTAGACAGATGCAGTTGGATTTTGCTAACTGCATACAGGAAGATTCATAAGAAATTACATCAGGTAATGAAGGATTACCATCAACTAGAGCAGAAGACCATAGAACAAAAAGGTAACATTGTTCTTTTGCAATGTGGGCAAAAATTGTTGAAAGATAAATTAGAACATTATCAAAATATAGCAGAGAGAGTAGCAGTAAAAGTGGCCCAAAATAAGTACTGTATAGGAAACGAAGGGGAAGGGTGAACCGTGGAAAAGTCCATCAGCAAAAGCAGCAGCCACAGTTGATTGGAATCCAGATAAGTGGGATGCTGATGTGTGGGATTCTTCATCTAGCGATGATTAGGATGATTGCCCCAGAGGACCAAAGGCTGGGAAATCCATCCGACCAAAATACAAGGTTCGTCTCAGGTAGTGGAATTCCTGGGGATACAGTGGAATAAGGGGCACAGAGAGATCTTGCCCAAAGCAAGACAAAAAAAAAAATTCTTGAATTTCAAACACCAAAATTCAAGCAGGAGACACAGTCCTATATTGGACTATTTGGGTTTTGGAGACAACACATACCTCATCTTGGTCAACTGCTAGGCCCCCTTTACAAGGTAACTAGGAAAAAGTATGAGTTTACCTGGGGGGAAGAACAACAGACTGCCTTTGATATGGCCAAACAGGCTATCCAACAGGCAGTAGATCTGTGGCCAATGAAGAACGGGGAGGTAGTACTACATGCATCAGTGCACCATAATTATGCCAACTGGTCTTTGTGGCAGAAACAGGAAGGTAATGAGTACCTTCTGGATTTTGGAACAAAAAACTCCTGGAAGCAGGGGAAGAATATACTCCCCTCAAGTAGCAGTTGTTGGCATGTTATTGGGCACTGGTTGATACTGAACAGTTGGCCATAGGTCACACAGTGCTACTAAGACCAAAAATCCCAATTATACAGTGGATACAGTCTAATCCAAAATCAAACAGAATTGGGCATGCTCAGGAACAAAGTATCATTAAATGGAAATGATACATTTCAGAAAGAGCCAAGAGAGGAGAGGGGGGAGTGGCCTCTTTACATGAAAAAATAGCAGAAATCCCTATAGAAGGTATTCTTACCTCTCCCCCACAGCAAGTGGAAGAGTCACCAGTAAGTTGGGGAAGGCCTTATGCTGAGTTGACAGAAAAGGAACAGGAACACACCTGGTTCACTGATAGATTAGACAGGTATGTATCAGGAAAAAGGAAGTGGAAATCAGTAACTTTTAATCCTAAATTGCAAAAACTCTGGTTACAGAAGGTGATGGTAAGAGCAGTCAATATGATGAATTATATGCAGTATTTTTGGCATTAAAACAAGAACAAAATGGAATGTGTCATTTATATACTGACTCATTGTCAGGAATGGACTTGCCAGTAATGGTGGGACTCACCTGCCTTGTGGGCTGCAGTACCAGGGCTGGCCAGCGGGTGCTCCCAGCAATCAGAGACTCAACCCTGCAGCCAGCCAAACACCTGAAGCTGATTATGCAGGTGTATTTAAGGGATGGCCAGACCTGCAGTCTGTGCCTTGGTGTGTGTTTTTCCTGGGCCCCTGTATCTTGTTACCTGCATCCCTGTCCCTGTCCCTGTCCGACTGATTCGTTGCCGACCCTGCCTGATCCGGACCTCTGCTGACTTCTCCTGTTTGATCCCTGGCTTGTGACCCCGACCATTCTCTGCCTGACCCCCTGTACCTACCTGCCCGTTAGTTGCTGTACCCGGCTCCTGACCTGACTACTCTCTGCCTGTTCCTACCTGCCCGATTGTTATTGACCTGGCCTGCCTGACGTCGCTTGCATTGTATGTATTGTTATCTGTGGGTGGTTTGGTTCGTTTGCACTGTGTTATGTTTTAGTATTGCACTGCGTTTATGTATTGTTAGTGTTAATAAATTATATTGTTTATAACATATCTGAAGCCTGCGTTTCCCTGCGTCAGTCCGCATACCTCTGGTCATACCCTGGAGCCCTGACATTACACCAAGGCCAATCCTGACCAGAAGTGGCTGCACAGGGAAGCCATCTTGGCTTGTTGCTAAGAAGGATGGATCTTGATGAGGTTGTGTATTTGTCGCTGCTGGTTTTTGATGACAGAGAATATGCTTATCAGACTCTGAAGGAGTATACCCGGGATCAACTGCTAGAATGTATACGGATCGCTCATGTTCTAGTAGATCAGGGCACAGAGTTCTCTGAGGTGCAACCTTTGATTCAGGTTTGTGCAGAGTTGGCTTCATCTGGTACCCCTGAAAGCAGGAATGACTTTTTGCCACCATTTAGTGCAGACCAGGTAGAGTCCCTGGTATGGTTATTAGAGGATGATGTGGATTGCTTCTTGGAGCATTATGCTGCATGTTCACCACAGGTATTAAGGGATTGTATAAACGCAGTGCAGTCTTTGGTCAGACAGGCTTTGTGTAAGCTGAGCTTTGTTCAACTCATACTGCAGACATGGTCATTACTTGTTGCACCCAGCCTCAGTCAGCTTGCAAAAACCCAGTCCTGCTTCTAATCTATTTCTTCAAAGCTCTATTCCTGCATTCCCAACAGCACCTCCAGTTACAGCCCAGTATACCTTGCTATCTACCGCATGTCAGTACCCTGTTCCCACTCGCTGCACCTATCCTGCCTTTAACCCTGTAAAGAAGCCCTCTGTAGCAACTGTTCCCTCCCCTGTTCCATCCTCCAGCTCTTCTCTGTCTCCAGCTGCTCCATCCGTTTACAAACCTGCGCTTACTTACAGTGCTCCGGTAACTAAAACCAGGAAAAGGCAAAAGTTCTTTCCAACCAATACCATCCCGCCAGTATCCAAACCGGTCAGCCTCCCATCTGAGAACCTGCCTTCCGTGGTGCAGCCTGGTGCCTCGGCGCCCACAATTCAGCCTGATGCCTCCACCCAGCCTGATGCCTCCACCCAGCCTGATGATTCCATTAGGCCAGTTGACTTGATGCCCGCTGTTGATCCAGACGATCCGGTACCTGATGACCCAGTGCCCACTGTCATGCCTGGTGACCCGATTCCCGCTGTCGAGCCAGACGATCCAATGCCTGATGACCCAGTGCCCGCTGTCATGCCTGGTGACCCGATGCCCGCTGTCGGGCCAGGCGATCCAATGTCTGACCCAGTGCCCGCGGTCATGCCAGTTGACTCGGAGCCCACTGTCGTGCCTGGTGACTCGGTGCCCACTGCTTTGCCAGATGATGTGGTGCCCGCTGGTGAGCCAAATGACCTGATGCCTGGTGACCCAGTGCCCGTTGTCGTGCCTGATGACCCGGTGCCCGCCGCTCCACCTGGGGGCCCGCCGCTCCGCCTTGGGGCCCGGCGCCCGCCGCTCCGCCTGGGGGCCCGGCGCCCCGCCTGGGGGCCCGGTGCCCGCCGCCCCGCCTGGGGGCCTGGGGGCCCGGCGCTCCGCTTGGGGGCCCGGCGCTCCGCCTGGGGGCCCGGTGCCCCGCCTGGGGGCCGCCGCCCGCCGCCCCGCCTGGGGGCCTGCCGCCCCGCCTGGTGTCCCGGCGCCCGCCGCTCCGCCTGGTGGCCCGGTGCCTGCTGCTCCGCCTGGTGATCCGGAGTCCTGCCCGGTGTGCCACTGCCCGGAGTCCTGCCCGGTGTGCCGCTGCCCGGAGTCCTGCCCGATGTGCCAGTCTTTGATATCCCGCCAGTTACCAGACACGGGCGGTGGAACATTTTGCCCAGCTAGGACTGTTTGGAGCGTCCTGAGGCCGCTCCTTGAGGGGGGGGGGTACTGTCAGGAATGGACTTGCGAGCAGTGGTGGGACTCACCTGCCTTGTGGGCTGAAGTACCAGGGCTGGCCAGCGGGTGCTCCCAGCAATCAGAGACTCAACCCTGCAGCCAGCCAAACACCTGAAGCTGATTATGCAGGTGTATTTAAGGGATGGCCAGACCTGCAGTCTGTGCCTTGGTGTGTGTTTTTCCTGGGCCCCTGTATCTTGTTACCTGCATCCCTGTCCCTGTCCCTGTCCGACTGATTCGTTGCCGACCCTGCCTGATCCGGACCTCTGCTGACTTCTCCTGTTTGATCCCTGGCTTGTGACCCCGACCATTCTCTGCCTGACCCCCTGTACCTACCTGCCCATTAGTTGATGTACCCGGCTCCTGACCTGACTACTCTCTGCCTGCTCCTCCTGTTCCTACCTGCCCGATTGTTATTGACCCGGCCTGCCTGACATCGCTTGCATTGTATGTATTGTTATCTGTGGGTGGTTTGGTTTGGTTCGTTTGCACTGTGTTATGTTTTAGTATTGCACTGCGTTTATGTATTGTTAGTGTTAATAAATTATATTGTTTATAACATATCTGAAGCCTGCGTTTCCCTGCGTCAGTTCACATACCTCTGGTCATACCCTGGAGCCCTGACACTCATGGTCAGTAGCAAATGGATTAGTTACATGAATGATGAACTGGAAAAAGAACGGTTGGATGATACATAGTAAGGAAGTGTGGGGAAAAGAGGGTGTGGCAGGACATTGAAAGTTTTGTTCAAAATATGACCGTAACTTTTTATCATGGATGCTCATGTCCCTCTTGACCCATTAGAACGTTTGTTTAATTCTCAAGCAGACGCTGCTGCAGCCATATCCAAAACATCCGATGCAGAAAGAGAAGCTGAAATTCAGGAAACATGGCTGCAGGGTACAGCCCTTTGGGCTCACCAAAAAAGTGGACATCTTGGAGAAAAGGCCACTTACAGGTGGGCACAGGAAAGGGGGATACCATTAACTATGGACATAATTAAATCCATCATCCTTAAGTGTCCAGTATGCCAATATGTACAGAAAAGTGAAGTCCCACACACAGTGATGGGACACATTGTAAGAGGTAAGTTGCCAGGTCAGATATGGCAGATGGATTTCATCGGACCTCTCCCAGCAAGCAGGTGATGTAAGTATATTTGAACGGCAGTAGATACTTACTCAGGTTATCTAGTAGGGTTCCCCTGCAATGCTGCTACTCAATGGAGTACTTTGAGGACTATAGAGGTGATAACCCAATATTATGGCACTCCTTTGCAAATTCAGACAGACAATGGTTCCCACTTCACAGGACAACAGGTAAAAGATTATGCCATGCAGCATAACATTGCATGGTGTACCACATTCCCTACTACCCTCAAGCAGCTGTGTTGGTGGAGCGAATGAATGGTATACTAAAATCCACTTTAAACAAGTTGCAAGGGTCTGATGCATATGGTCAATGGCGAGATAATCTGTCAGAGGCTTGTTACTTGCGAGAGTGATTTATACTGTATTGTCTTTCGCAGAGCAACACTGTACCTATCTTAAGCCTTGGAATCCTTGGTATTGTGTGGTTAGTCGGATCAGAGGTTGGAGCATGAACACCTGGACTCAGAATTATGGACACCAGTAAAAATCAGGTAGTATGGGCTTGGAAAAATTCAACTATTAATCGGACTCAAGGAACTTTCATATGCCCTGCTAAGAAACAATGTTCTATTGTTAACATTTATTTTGATGGGACTAAAAGGGAAGGACCAAGTACAGATACTGGATATCTTCCAGATTATTCACTGCACAATGGCCACGGTTGGGCCAATTTGAGTTCTGATGTTAATATCAGCTGTTGCTGTTGTGAAAGACCAGATTTTACCAGAATACCACATGAACAAAGGCTTACTTTGGCGAAACAATGTGCCAACACAACCCAATCACAGATGAAGTTTCGGTTTGACCTTATGAACGTGACTTTTATGTTGTGTGTTAATGCAAGTACTCTCAAAGGAAGAAATTGGTGATTTTAATACATAGTGTTTATTAATAAAAATAAATCACATATAGACTTCGGCCATATCAAGACACTACCATCCACTTGCGAGAGAGTAGGACAACATGCACAGAAAACTGTAATAAGGACAAAAATAGTCTTTCCAAGGACTATAAGAAATTGTATAAAACGAAGAAGATGATCATGGTATGATACGTTATTTGGGAGTTATGGCTCCCTGATTGGAACTGATATTAAAACTTTGGCAAATAGAATATATACTGCTGGGAGTAAGATTAACGATGCTTTAACTATGCAAGCTAAATGGATGCCTACTATATTTCATCCAATTAGTATAGCTACTGGAGTTGATAACATGATGCTTCATTTAACAAATGCTTCAAATAATTTTGCAAAAGGTTTTGACACTAATGTTGCAAGATTTATTAACTGGACGGTGTGTACATTGCAAACCATGTATGAGCAACAAAAAGTTAATATGCAGGCTACATTGATGACAGGAAATGAATTAGTATGGAGGACCGTGTTCAACAAGAATGTCCTCATAGATATGTGGATACACTTGGATGCTCACAAGATAATTTATAATGACACTACCTGCCTTGGGTGGCTAAATGGTTAGCACTTCCACCTGGCAGTACTAGGGTCGTTGGTTCGAATCCCAACCACAGCACGACCTGCCTGGAGTTTGCATGTTCTCCCTGTGCCTGCGTGGGTTTCCTCCAGGTACTCCAGCTTTCTCCCACACTCCAAAGACATGCTGGTAGGTGAATTGGATCCTGGCTAAAATTGGCCCTAGTATATGTATGCATGAATGTGAGTTAGGGACCTTAGATTGTACGCCCCTTGAGGGTTAGGGACTGATGTAAATGTACAATATATATGTAAAGCGCTGTGTAAATTGACAGCGCTATATAACTAACCTGAAATAAATAAAATAAATAATAATGTATAATATTACTAAATCAACTATAATGTGTAAATTTGTTGTGATGCCTTTGATTATTGGTGCGCCTGGCGCTCAACATTATTGGAGCCCAGAATTATATGGCACCCATGTAGATAATGATAATAAGACTCATGATCTTTCTTTTTGCGATGATACTTTAGAGGGAAAAATCTGTAAGCTACAGTCTTCTGTATATGAGCCATGTTTGTTACAGAACACTGTAAATATATGTAAATGGACCATCTTACCTATTTCCTATGAGACGATGATTGAAATAGCTCCGCAAACTGTGTGTATGGTGACTAACACTCCTGTGGTAAAGGGAATGAGAGTTTCCTTCTCGGGCTGTGTTAGTAACCTGTCTTCTTTAATTTGGCATAATGAAACCTTTATATTACAGGGTGACAAGGAAGAATCAGTCCAAGAATATTGGAAGGATTTTTCATTGGAGATCCCCAATTGGGAGTTCAATTTAACGGTTTTGAAACAATTAACGAACGAATATTTGCCACGCTAACTCCTCCCACAGTTTTTACACTACAAATACAAGTAATATATCAAAACGTGCGGATTGTTCCCGATCGGATTGCTATTACTTTGTGGAACGTTTCGCCGAATCGTTCAAGAAATATCGCGGTTTTTGCGGCGAAATTTTCCCATAGGAATGAATGCATTGAGTGGCAGCAGAGCACAGCTAGAGTGTGTAAAGGAAAAATCAGAAAAATCAGAACATGATTTGTAAACTGCCATCACTCTGCCATTTTCAAGCCCACCTACACATATCTTATATCAAAACGTTCAGCTAACCCTGCTGTCACTAAAAATGTTCACAGCTAGGACATATCCTGATAGTTTTCAGAATATGACCATTTGTTTGGACCTCACCCCCTCCCATTGACTTTCATTGAAACTCCACTTTAGACACAAGACATTTTAAGGGACGTTTTTAAACTGCGACTGTGCCTTCATTTTTTATCTTTCAGAGACATACTATACATCAAAATTTAGGTCTTTTTTTTCTTGTGATTGTCACAATATAAACCTTTTCACGGTAGCATTTATACTTTTAAAACTACAAGCGTTTGAAAATGGCAATCGCCAGTGAACTTGGCAAGTTTAAATAGCCTGTTTAGAGCAGAGCTGTCACACACCTGTGACTGACTGAGGTAACAGGTGCAAGCAAAGGTCACTCAGGGGGCAGCTGAGTCACATTAGAGTGAGAAAGCTGCAGTGTGAAAGGAAAAATCAGAACATGATTTGTAAACTGCCATAACTATGTCATTTTCAAGCCCACCTACACATATCTTATATCAAAACGTTCAGCTAACCCTGCTGTCACTAAAAATGTTCACGGCTAGGACATACTCCTGATAGTTTTCAGAATATGACCATTTGTTTGCACCTCACCCCTCCCATTGACTTTCATTGAAACTCCACTCTTAGACACCTGAAATTTTAAGGGACGTTTTTAAACTGCGACTGTGCCTTCATTTTTTTATATTGCAGAGACATACTATACATCAAAATTTAGGTCTGTTTCTTGTGATTGTCACAGTATAAACCTTTTCACGGTAGCATTTATACTTTTAAAACTACAAGCGTTTGAAGATGGCAATCGCCAGTGAATTGGCAAGTTTGAAACAGCCTGTTTAGAGCAGAGCTTGTCACACACCTGTGACTGACTGAGAGTCACAGGTGCACCAAAGGTCACTCAGGGGGCAGCTGGGGCATTACTTTGTAGAGTCAGTCACATTAGAGTGAGAAGTGAGAAAGCTGCAGTGTGAAAGGAAAAATCAGAACATGATTTGTAAACTGCCATCACTCTTTCATTTTCAAGCCCACCTACACATATCTTATATCAAAACGTTCAGCTAACCCTGCTGTCACTAAAAATGTTCACGAATGCCAGTAGTGTACCGCGCTCCAATAT